TTTTGCGTTTGGATTTGGTTTGTTTTCGCTTGCTTTTTCGTTTTTTTTGTGTTGTTATTGGTTGGTATTGGTGTTTGTGGTTGTGGTTGGGTTTGTTGTTAGGTTTTTGTTTTCTTTAGCTTTTTTGTTTGTTTTTTCTTTGTGTTTGTATTGGTGTTTGTGGTTGTGGTTGGGTTTGTTGTTAGGTTTTTGTTTTCGTTTGTATTTGTAATTGTGTTAGCGTTATGTTTGCGTTTTGTTGTTTTGGTTTTGGTTGGTTGTGGTTTGGGTGGGCAATGCCGGGTTTATGATGATTACTAAACACAAAGGTAATGGTCTTTAACAGAAAGGTTTTTCACAGAACCAGAGCAGGGCCTGGCCGGGACGGCTAGTATATATATATATATATATATATATATATATATATATATATATATATATATATATATATATATATATATATATATATATATAAAGCAATATATGTGTGTGTATGTGTGTATGTGTGTCTGTCTGTCTGTTTGTCTTTTATGCATTACTACAATTTTAATCCGATCGCCATGAAACTTTGAGAAGTTGTTGACAATACTCCTGGGAAGGTGTCTGTGAAAAAAATTCTAATTCGCAGGGGTGGCGCCCCGGGAGGGTATACGGTATGTTTAAAATAAAAGCCGATTGCGGTTTGACATCGTTAACCACCTGATCGCCATGAAAATTTGTGGAGTTGATTAAACAATCAAGAAAGGTTTCTGAAAAAAAAAGTTTTTTTTTTTAATTTCGCAAGGGCGGCGCCACGGGGGTGTGTGATTCTTCTGTATATACGATATATTAAAAGAAATTAAAGTCGGATGCGGTTCGACACCTTTATCTGAGTTCCATAAAACTTTAGGGAGTTGATGAATACTCATGAGAAAGTTTCTGGGGGGAGGGAGGGGGGTAATTAATTTCACACGGGCGGCCCCGGCAGGATGCGATTTGGCGCCCTGGTCTTTCTCGTTAGCGCTATGGCGACTACGTCCGTTCTGAACAGTGTGATAGACAATGGATAAGATGGTGCGTTACAGTCGCTCACTAAATTGAATGAGGCATGTCCTACGGCGCCCTGGTAGAGTGCGATTTTCCTGCGAACTAAAATTTCAGTTTCGGCCCCCAAAGGCTCACATAAGCCGCTGAGGGCCCTATAATACATTTTTTTAATTATCAGAGAAATGAAGGTTAGTTTATTAACAGGGTTGTTTCCTTTTCTGTTGACAAAAAGCGACGAAAACAGTTTCATCACTTACGAATAATGCAATTAGCATCTACTTTAAGACGATCCAATCAGAAATTGAGATCGAGCTTCTTTTAAAATTAGTACCGCTAACAAATTGCATCAGTCATACTGATGTTTATACACGTCAAATAATTGTTTTCTACGTGTTAAAGAAAAAAATCCTGTTGATGTGTGTCACTTTAGCGAATGACGCAACCTGCGTCATTTTTTTCAGGATACTGTTTGGCGCTCTGGGTTATCCTGTGAGCACCGTGGCGCCTATGTTAGTTTTAAGTAGCCAGGGACCTACGCAGCACCTGGGGGCTCCTGAGAGCACCGCCTACGTCCCTGACACATGGGTGGTCACAGAAGTGTGTTCTACCTCATTATTTCTCTGAGTTATTAACGTAAATTCAAGGTTTTCATGTGGTAGTGTGGGTAAACCCGTGTCCAGATATTTATGATCCAAGCGTAGGCATTGTTTACATTTAAATAACTCAGTTTTAGAAAAGAAGGTCACGGGTCTACGAACATAGGATTAGTAATGCATTGATATTTCGTCAGACTTTCTTCTATCCCCGCGACAACGCGCGGCGACGGGTACGCTAGTAATAAATATAATAGTATATATATCTAGCCGTCCATCCACCCCCCCCCCCCCCCCACAACCACACACACACACACACACACATATATATATATATATATATATATATGAATAGTCGCTACACCCACGCTTTCACAAATGAGATACTGAATCCAACTAATGAGCAAACAACCTGCCTCACCTGAATACATGCATATTAATACAAATTCTTAACAATGAACCTCTTCGTGAAAGCCCAACTATGTTCTTTTAATTGACATCACAGCCTCTCCAACTCTGTGACCAACTACAGTACAATTAGATAGTGTGATCGAATTTAGTACTTCATTATTTTAAGAGTAAACGTTTTATTGTTATTATCGTGAAACCCATGACATCAGCCTGGTCAGTATACTGTTGAAATCATTCATAGTGCGCGGTGTTTCATACAGGTTCTCTATTTATTTGATTAAAAAAACAAGGTAGGCCTAAGTGCTTTCAAACAAACGAATAAGAAAACCCCCTGCAGAAATGATGAAAGTTTGCACACAATATCAGCTTTGGGTAAGTGTTTTTTTTTTAATTAAAAACAAAATGTTTTTATTTGTCTCCTATCTATCTTTACAAAAAATACTTCATGCCTAATAGCGCGCATCATTTACACTCCCTATATTATTGCTCTAGCGTAATCCCATGCAGCTTGAAACAAGCTGGTAAGAGCTTCGTGGGTAGGGGAAGACTGTAAGACCAAAGCTAGTACTCCAGGTAGTGGGTTGAATAACCTCTACAGAAACCAAAGCAGAACTTTATAAAGCAGCCGTTGATAGAGGAGCATATCTCCATAAAAAAACAAAGACTATGAAAGTTGTGACATTGAAGTTGACTCCGATAACAGCTAACATAAAAGGTGTCCAATGGCCCAACGCCGTCTGCAATGAAAGATTACGAAGTGAAATAGAAAGCGTCGGGCGTTTCAGAAGTTGTTGAAAAAAAGAAGATGGCGCTGGATGGGCGATGTGTGCAGGATGAGACCAGATGAAATGATAGGAATGGCGCTGAAGTGATCGTCTGGAGGAGAAAATAAACAGGGAAGGTCAATAGAGACGTTGGGGTGTACAGCAGAAAAACAACTTACAAAAGTTAAAAATGCGCCCACAGAAAATGCGCAAATAAGAAATTCCGCAAACAGAAAATGACACACAGATCTTTCAGCAATCATGAGTGTGACAAGGTGTATATATATATATATATATATATATATATATATATATATATATATATATATATATATACATGGATGACCCCTAATAATATGTTTTAGTATATATAGAAAGTTATCAATAAAGGTATACTTTACAAATTTTATTTTAAAAAATATGTAATATAAAACTTCCTAATTTCCTATTATGATAAAGGTGTGAAAAATAAACTTTCGTTTTTTTATCTGTAAAATTATAAATTGTCTATTTTGAATTGTAAACAATTAAAATGTAAACTTTCCTATTCTGCTTTATTAAAATTTGAAATGTAAACTTTCCTATTCTGTTTTATTAAAATTTGAAATGTAAACTTTCCTATTCTGATTTATACACATATGTAAGCCCTGCTAGGGGGGGGGGGGGGATACCTAAAATCTACTCTACCCTAGGCTTATCTATTACCGTCCGGTCAGTGCAAGCCCGGCTAAACCCAGACTGGTTAATAACCTAACCTTAGTCTAAATAATAAAACTACTAAAAGTAAAACAAAAACTTTAACAATATAATAAAATTTATTTAACAAAAAAATGGAACCAAGCTTATTAAAAAAACTAGAATCTAGGTAAAACAGAACACTGGAGGCATACAAAACAGAACTCAACGGAACAAAACACCCAATTTCGGACCACCGTCCTAGAAAGAGGAAAAATAGACAAATCAATTCAAAATGTAAAAAAAGTTATACACAAGGAACTAAGAAGTTGACAATTGAAAATAAAATGGATATTGTACAAAATGAACTTTCAAATGAAAGTAGTACAAAGAACACACTTAAACTTAAATATCAGGTCACTGAGCATAAAACTACTAGTTCAATGCACACATTAATCAGCCTCAACAAGAGGTTCTCATAAAATATGTAAGTAAAATCTAGAGATAGATTCTAGATTCTCTAGATCCATGACTAAAATCTAAACCCAGACCACCATACTACCACGTGGTCTAGATACATCAACCATTGAGATTTCTCAAAGTGACTAAATAGTACGTAGTCACTGCGTATATAAAATAAGAAAACCATTAAAAGGAAACCATAATAAAACAGTATAAAAATAGCTCTACTTTACCATACACCACATAAATGTGATACACAAACTTCAAAACACAAGCCTCGACATTCCCGCTGAATGTCCCTCCCTGTCCACACACCACATTCACGAACGAAAAACAATTCTACGCACAAGAAAATAGTCCCTAATCCAACAATAACTAACATTCAGGACATAAAGCAAAGTGGAGCAACAATCCAAAACAAAGTTTGCATAAATAATAACATTAAAATATAAACCAGACACAATAACCAGGCTACAAACCATTGTAAAATCAAAATCATATCAGCGCCATAATAGCGGACTACTTAACTAAAAACCACAACAATCCTCAAAGGAACACAAAAAGCGACATTCGCCTTCTTAGTTACAAATAATTATAATAACAGATAAACACACTCCAGCCGCTCACACATATGAAATGTAAACTTTCGCATTCCCCAAGGACTCTTCGTTAGCCTGGTCAAACAACACATGGCCCGAGCTCTCAGAATGTTTCCAGAACACAGTTCTAGAGCTGGCGCCGGCCTTCTGGTTTTTACTTACGACCCCGTGCTACTGGTATCACTTGCTGACCTCGTCACGTGACAAACATCCGGTCTGCTGGATTTTTATTGCTAAACTGGTACGTTTTCTTCTCATAACATTCGCTAAAGACCAGGGAATCCAGATCAGGGTGCATGCTATTTACTACTGAGTTGAAATAATTATGAAATAGGAGAGAATCTTACGATATTTTATATTCTTTCTCTAAAATATATTTCATGTTTATTTAGATTTTATCTTCGTGTCTTGGGGCAGCTGATATCACGTGGGCTGTTGCTATAGTGACGGAGGAAACAATGTTTGAACAACTTCTTGTAATACTGGTTCGAATGTTCATGTTGGTAAGTTCACTCTAACTACTGGTCATCTATTCAAGATGCTTACACAAATGTCAAACTTCTTGACGCGAGCAGAATTAATGGGAACAGAGGGGGAGGGGGAGGGGGGTCCACTTACAAAATTCTTGTAATAAAGAATAATATTATCTGGATCTGGGCTGTGTGATATTGATTAGTGTGGAGTACTTTATTTCAATGGACGCGTTTAGTCCATGAGGGAGAGAAGGGGCTAGGAATGAAACGTTAGATTTTGCTTTTGGATGTTATAAACGAATAACCAAACAAAAGATGTTGAGGCCATTACAACCTACGGTAGGTTGTCACTTGACCTATCTTTTTTACTACCGTATTTGAAAGGGAAGAAATCTAACAGACTTCACATTTCTGCTGAACGGCGGTGAACGATCAATCGCGTCACAACAACACGCCTTAAAAACTAACCCACGGTATCACTGATTTTCAGTTATATAATCGTAGCCATTTAAAAACAAACGCGATTTTTTCACAAATTATTTTCTAGGCTACTGATTAAATTGATTAAAAAATTGGTATCAAATTAAAAGTAAGTAGATATAGCTTATTATTGTTTAAGTCATCTTGAACAATAATAAAGTTTAAAATCTTAGGCAATATCCTACCTACGGTTAAATTCTATACCAATACATCACACATACCAGTTAAAACGTTCGTGATTTTTACGTGTGTAGAGATCCATTTTGCGGTCACTGTACCTGCTTTTGATATGCTCTCAGATACATTTCAATGAAATTGAAGAACTGTAGTTCGAAAGTCAAACTTGGCAGTGTTAGTCGTCTGTGCAATATTACCACTCAACCTCAACATGATCTATACTCTATGTACACGTGAAGACGCTAGTGACTAAATGACTGAATCCTTTTTTCAGGTGTTCTACATAGGCACCATTGTGCTAGAGAAATCACGTAACGTTGTCCGGTCTTTCCCCATGTTTGTCTACTGGTCCCTGGCATCGTTCTGTTTGCTTGTGAAAATCTTTGAAAAGGGAATGAGCGGAGTGAGTTTTTATTCATTCACTTATTTGAATTATATTACAATTTAGAAAGGCTATAAATATGTGAGTCTATTGGCGCTGCAACAGTAAGGGTAGAATACTCAAGTGTGGATTGAGCAGTTGCTGTTGGAACACTTACCAAATCTCGGGCCCTTACATTTTATGTACTAATGTTTATTTTTATAGTGTAAGTTGCAATTGATAACTACCTATAAATCATGAACAATGACAATGATTTAAAAGTGAATGACACAGAATCGTTAGATGGGTCCATGAGCTCTTCCATCATGAAAATTCGTTTTACATACGGCTCCGACTATATGACATCCATCAGAGACTAAAAAATAGAAAATAATCCTGATAAGGGGGTCGTCCATAAATGACGTCACGCCTTTTTGGCCATTTTTTTACCCCCCCCCCCCCCCTAAAAGGACGTCACACTCCTCCCCACCCCCAGCCCTAATTTACAATTTATCCTATGTTTTAAATTTGCTGTGTTTTCATCCCTTTAAAATTACCGCTCGTTGACACAGCATTAATAATGAGCGCAGGACCCATTCGTGGCACCAGCAGGTAAGCAGTAATACAGTGAGGTGATGTTAAAGCTGATAAGATTAATTTTTTTTTAAATACTTAATGTAAATGTAGGTATTTCTTGCAGACATGACGACACGCGTGAGAATAACAATATATTCAGTATAATTATAATATGCAAATTATTTAACTGTTATCACTATGCCCAGACCTTTAATTTTCCTGGTATATTTTATTGTAGCCTATATGATGGATTTAACGGATGTCATCTCTCACAAAGCAATATAAATATCATCGATTTTTAATAGTAAAGACTCTCCACTAGATTATTAAATTGCGTGTTTTGCTGTTAGCGAAGAGGATGTTGAAAATGACAAGAAATACTCTCACACTGACTTGAATCTAAGCAAATTTTATAGACATTTGATTAATAACGATTAAAGAATAATATTAGTAACAGGTTATACTTAACCGACCATATCTATATACATTCATATTTCTAAATCTTAGCAAGATCATTAACCGAAGTATTAAAAAAACTACTTACAACAGTATTAACATAGCAATCATCAATAAAAAAAGTTGTGATATTTAAGCTTATTCATTCTCCCATGGAGAATTAAAATGTTCCTTCATTGAATACACAGAGACGGAATTGATTTTTTTGCCCGTATGGAATGGGAATTCCCTTTACATCAAGGTCTTCCTCTTCTATCTAATCTACACTCTCACCATTAATTTCATTGGCAATTATAACCATCAGTTCACGTTGGAGGCGTGTAGCATTTCTCAGAGGCCTGATGCGCTGTACTGGCACAATTGATGATTCCTGTTTGTGAATTAAGGAATGATTGCACCGCATAACCAACGAAGAGAAGTGTGAGTGACACTTTTTAAAAACCCTGTCGCTGATCACGGATTGAACAGACGTACAATACAAATCATAAGGGATTGTGCGATACGGATTTGAAGAGCGGGGGAGGATTTCATCCACTTTTATACTTTGAGCAGCAAAAAGAGATGGCGATGGCCATCTGTTGAACGCTCAGGTATTGTTAGTCCACAGCTTGTTTGGGCGACTGGTAAAGGTGGAAGAAGAAATCTATCAGTTATTAAGCTAAAATTAGAGCTTCTTGGCTTTGAGCAATATTTAACTATCTGAGTCAAATACTGGCTAGTTCTCACATGAATATCTTGCCAACGCTGATCCTTAGAGAGCAGAGAAGTTTCAAGGTGTTCAGACTCTTCTGAATCTATGTATGCTGCCACTATAGGAAATGTATCCACTGTCAATAATTTATTGTGACCATATTTCTGCCAAAGTGTTTCCGGCAAATTGGAAATTCTTCTTCTCTAAATCTGTGTCTATTTTGGCTCCTCTTTCATCCAAATGACTGCCGTAGTGGTCATGGGGTAAAACTAATCCTGTTAGCTCATTGCTAAGTGGCGCCATTTTCCTTCCAACCCTATTAAATGCACTTCTTCATGGTGCATTGGTAGCAATGAACAAACCATCATAGTTCTGATTGAGAAAGTGGTGTACCGCAACTTTGATGACATTTTAATACCTAGGGTTTTCGTCTGGGCCACCATCAACCGTCAACACTAATATTGGTTTAACAATTTGATCCACACCAATCTGTGTGATATCATCAAATTCATGTAAAGTAAGTAATTTTAAAAAATCAAGTCCATGGCTAAGTGCTGAGGATGAGGAATGTTTACCAGTTCTGATTGATAGGTATGTTGGGTCGGAGTATCCAACAGCTTCTCGATTTCCCAAGGCGTTGAGCTGAATTTTTATCCCGGCATAAACTGAAGGGATCAGCTTATGTCCAGCAGCCACAACCCAGTCATGGTCAGGCAAGCTCACCCTGTATTCCATGTGCATGAGCAATGGACTTTTTTAGCTGCTGTCAACCCAAGCGGAACGCGGGCCTTGTCATCTTGACTTATAAAGCATACCTCATTCGGTCCAAGCATGGAAGCTAATTCTTGTAGGTGATGCAGTGTTGCAGCTGTAAACAAGCGATCAATGTGATTTGCATGGCAATCGTTTTGCGCTCTTATTAGTTTTACTGGGACTGTCGATACATGTCGTTGCCCTTCAAGAGAAGAAGTACGTTTCGGCAACAGTCGAAGGTACAGCCCACTTCTACTAATTAAATGATCAGTTAGCTGATCTAATGTTTTAATAGCCCTATAGGCTTCGTTCTGCCTCGTCTCATGTGATGCTGATCCATGAATAGCAATGTTTATGATAGTTATTCCGACTCGATTACGCATAGAACGCTGAAATTTTGATAAATCTGCAATTATTATTTTTGCCCGATTAAAATAAGTCCCTTATACTCCGTTTATGAGTATATAGGGCTACGGAATGGGTCGCTGTCTCATTATGGATGAGCTGTTTCAGAAAGTATGGACATTAATTAATTCGCTGAAGTGAGGGTTATGTATCAGTTTGATTTACTCTATTTAAACGGGAACCGTACATTAACCACCCCCCCCGGCAATTACCCCCGGACATTTCCCCCCGTATTTCCCCATCCCCAGCAATTACCCCCTGTCAATCTCCCCCCCCCCCCCTCCCGGACATTACCTCCCGCTCAAAAACATCAGTATGACATTAGCCCCCCCCCCCCCCTCCCCGCGGTCAACTTAAGATCATTATATGTATAGGAGATTGAGAATGTCACTGCTTATGTGGGTTTTTTTCACTTGATTTATTGTGAAGGATTGGATTTTAAAAGCGAATGACGAAAATGTAAGTCTTAAATGTGGTGCCACTGTTTATATAGGTTTTTTTTGTCCAGTCGGTTTTAACTTTTTAAATACATATCATTCTAATTTTGGAAGGCACTATGTGTGGGGAGTGGACTTGTGTGGCGAATTAAATTTGTTACACCCTAAATGTGTTGACGCTGCTCATAGGGCTTGCGTTTGATGTCCGTCGGTTTGTCTTTTGACGTTGTCTTTTGAGTAGACCGTCGTGCCATTTTGGAAGAGTAAGACGTAGAGGCCGAGCTGTTCCCCTTTATGAGCCTCACATCTGGAACATACACCACAGGGTGGAAAATGAGTTTCCTCGCACCAACAACAGCATCGTAAAGTGCAAGCTGCAGTTGCTGCTGACCATCCAGATATCTGGTGTTTTATCAATGTTCTCAAACGCGAGCAAGGTTTTTATAAAGTGGTCATCGGTCAGCGGCTTGGCGGACATCCAGTAGAACCACCAAGAACAAAATATAGTACCATCAATTCTCGTATTTTTAACATCGTTAAGGACTATGCCAACAGAAATCAAATGGACTATTTAAGAGGGATAGCTTACAATATTCAAATTTAATTGTAAGTTTCCCTCCTTTTTCTAATTCAGAAATGTACAATTTTATGTTGTCATTTTTTTAAATTTTATTCATGTAAGTTCATTTAGATTTTGTTGTATATATTTTTGAATGTTTGTAAGTTTTCCTTTTTTTTTTCAGAAAATAAAAATTTAAAAATGTATATTTTATGTTGCTTATTTTAAACGTTATTAATGTTTGTACATTTAGATTTTGTTGTAGATCTATATATATATATATATATATATATATATATATATATATATATATAGTTTAGCGGGGGCTTGGGTGGAAGGGGGGGGGGGGGTAATTACATAGGGGTAATTGACAGGGTGTAATTGACAGGGGTAATTGCTCCGGGGGTAAATACGGGGGGGGGGGGGAATGTCCGGGGGGTAATTGACGGGGAGGGGGTAATGTCCTGTAGCCATTTAAACATAGCCCTACCAACCTATTAGTTATTCCGTCCCTGATAATAGTTTACCATATGTTGTAGTGAATTCACTGTATTTATTGTTTAAATATTTAAAATTGATCTTGTTATTTGCACCGTGTCTAGGAATATACAAATGAAACATTCAACTTTAGCGTGGTTGTACTGCGTTACGTGGCGACAACAGCGCTGTTTGTGGTCACGTGTTTTGCTGAGTACCATGGGGTCAAAGACAAGGTCAGTCCTACGTTAGTATGGTGCACTAGGTAAGTCACGGTGACAAAGCCAATGTCAGCCCCATGTCAGTCTATACATATTGAACAATTAAGTCATTCTTTTTACTTTCTCGTATATACGAAGTGTAGAGAAAGTCTTGAAATAGTGCAATAAACAAATCGAGATTTTTGCAAATCTCAACGTTTTAAACCTCCCTGAGTTGGAAAAACATAGTTTTGCAATCTGGTCCGTATTAATGTTTGTGTGTGAGTGTATGTGTGTGTGTTTGTCTGTAAACACGATAACTTGAGTACCGTTACAGCTAGGTTGATAAAATTTCTTTTGAGCGATTTCCGATAACTGGAAGTGGAACTTTTTCTACTTCCAATTTTTCAAAAGCCTGTAACTTGAGTACGATTTCAGATAGATAAATAAAAATTAACATGTAAGTAAAAGATCTAATTATCTACCTTATGTCAAATTTTGAGTAATTTCCGTTGATAACGGACATAGTAATTTTCGCTTTTTCCGATTTTTCAAAAAAACGCATGTGTATTTATAAAGTGCTAATAATATTCCGCACTATTATACACATTTTGTTTTGCGTTCACTTGGTGTGCAATTCTTTTTTCTTACGAGATTCTATTCTATTTTTAAAAGGTTTAAGCAATTAAAAATGGATTAAAAATCAATTCTATTTCCCGAGTTGCCATCCCCCGTTGTTTTATATAAGAATATTCGAGAAAGTTTAGGGGAGATCAATCCCGGTTTATTTTTTTAGATTCTTATATTTTAATTATTTGTTTTCAGTAATTACTAATATATGAATAAGCTAAATTGCCTACTTGAGAAAGGCATCCATGAGACGCTTTAAAAAATAACTCTAAGTCACTCTCATACCGGCTAGAGTTCTCTGTTTTAAAGATGTACCCATGATCATCAATAAAACCTGACCAGGTTGTGTTATTTAAAATCTGCTTTATTCCTGTCTCCTCAGTCACATAACCCTGAGACATCGGCTGCTGTTTTATCCTGGATCTCCTTCACATGGCTGGAACCGTAAGTTGTTGCCGGACATTTAGCCGGACATAGATGTCTGACATTTAGCCTCACATAGATGTCTGACGTTAAGCCGGATCTAGTTGTCTGCGTTTAGTTTGACATAGATGTCAAACGTTCGTTTATCTACGACCTTGTGGTCATGATCAATAGTCGTTAACTAACATTCTCTACCCCTCCCCCCCAACACCATTACAATATTGGTTAACCAACATTCTCCCCACACCACTACAACATTCTTTAACTACCATTCTCCCCACCCATATCACTACAACATTTGTTAACCAACATTCTCTCACCACCCACACCATTCATTAACCAACATTCACTCACCACACCACCATTTGTTAACCAACATTCTCTCCCCACCCACACACGTCAGTTCAACACCTCAAACCAATGAGTTATATCTGTATTTCAAGCCTGATGCGTCTGGGATACAAGCGTCCATTACAAGACGATGACACGTACCATCTGACGCCAAACGACACATCAGCAAAAGTAACAGATGCGCTCATTAAAAATTCCATAATTACAACCCACAGGTGGGTACTTTGATATTATCTTAGTTAACATTTTATCTTACACCACGTAACAAACTAATGTTTTATGACTTTTTAATCAATTGTTGTGTGTCATTCAGCATTTCTCGAATACAAAAACCTACATTGGATGACAATATCGCATTTCTTTGTGTAAAGTAATGCGGGCTATTATGTTAGACATATCCAGAAAAATGAAAGCTAAAATTTAACTGGCTAATTTTGTATATTCGTGGAAATAACTATATGATAAATATTCCAGGGTTTGTGCACCTTAACATTAATTTTACATCAATGCATTTAACAAATTTAAATATTTTAGTTATCGAATTCACAAAAAAGGTGCTTTTGTTTCAAATTGTTCAAAAATATTTCAACCAAGTTTGAACGAATGGACTACCTGATTCATTTTAAATGTTCAAACTAGCAACAGTGGTCGATGTTTGTTCAAGTCATCTCACTTTTTAAACACTTTGGGGAACTGAATAAAAAAGCAGTTGCTTCTAATGAAATCCATTGCTCTGTGATTCAGTTAAGGAGAGGTGATTTTATTAGATCACATGTGATGGCACTATACGTTATATTTTAAAGACATACAATTTGTTGTTTCTATGCAAATTCTACAGCTATAAAATAACCTTATATAAACTCACTAACTACGTAATTTAAAACATAAATTTAAAATCACTTTAAAAAAAAAGCTATTATCGACAGTTCACCGAGAAGAAAATGGTTGCGTCTGAAACCCTTGCAGTGGATAAGAGCTAAGCCAAGCTGCAATGAACAAAAAACACAACTTTTGGACGCCAACAACTGTGAAGACACAGAGAGACGATCCTACGACGCCGTCGATAGTTATGCTAGCAATGAAACAAAGAAACCAAAACAAAGATCGTTCTTCATGTCTCTGTTTTTAACCTTCAGATGGGAGTTTTTATATTGCAATATTGGGATGCTGGTATACGTGGCTATTCATTTATTTTTCCCCATCATCCTAGGGTGAGTTCAATGAAATCACGTTTTAACATGTTATTGTTTCCAAATTTCGCTTTGTGTATCGTAATTTCTTTTTTTAATCTTATGCCTACTTTTCTTTTCAGTTGGTTGATAGACTACAGTGTAAATACAACAGAGCCACACTGGCATGGTTATGTCCTCATGATGCTGCTTTTAGCATCTAAGATGTTGATCTCAGTTTTTAGAGAATCGTGCGAGTACCTAAGTAACAGACTTGCTATTCGAGTTCGTAGTGCTGCTATTGGCGCCATATTTCGAAAGGTGTTTTTATCATATTAAAATTTTAGTTGAGATTGTGAATGCCCGAATATGGGGGTAGGAGCGGTTGCGGGAGTAAATCTACTCTACCTCCTACTTGAAAGATGTTGAAAAACTACCCACAACGAAAAATAAACAAATCGTATTTGGCTTTCATTAAAAGTGGGTCAAATTAAGTTTCAGGATTTGCCAAAATCCCACAAAATAAACTGACATTGTGAACGAAATAAAACTTATAAAATTAGAAAGGAGCTTACTGTTGATAATCGTCACTATATAAAAAGTTCACTTTGCTGGATCTATTAATATGTCATATTTAAATTTAAAATTAGAATTATTTGAAAATAAAAGTAATTTTAACAGAGAATTCGTAAAAATAATTTGCAAAAAAGCATTTAAATGACCCCAGTACCTGAACTAAGAAAAGGAAAATGTCAGAGCTGTGTGCTGAGGCACAGAATGAATTCAAGACGAGAAAAAAATGTGTCTTGTGTCGAGTTTTTTAATGTGTCGTGTGCCAAGTTTTTGTGAATGCGTTTTTTAAGTATGATACTTACGTTTCTTCTTAAATGGTTTCTAAACTATGGTGTAAATATAACACAGCCACACTGTGCTACCTAAAAGTAGCATTTAAAAGCAAACTTTTTTATATTACACAACACGTAAGCAAAGGTTCTTTGTTCTTATCACAGTTACTAATTTTCATCTTTTCTAGGAGCAACACTATGCTCTGATCATATATAAAAAAACAACAAAGATACAAGTCATACCTCGCCTTATACTCTTCTAATATAGGACACGCTCCCTATACTATCCCTATATCGCGAAAATTATTCAAGATATTGATATATTGCCTTATGCTTATAAAATTTATAATCCTTATGTCATTTTAACCCACAATGTAAAACTTAGTATAGATAGATTTTTTTTTTAAATGGTCACAAACGGTCCTTAAAGTTTTAAACTAAAGTGTAAGAGAAATCAATATAGGGATAGAGTGACAAACAAAACATACATATTTAAAAACATGTAGTTCCTACATTTATGTGATATTTAATTATAAAATCATATTTGCATTACAGTCCTTGCGATTGTCCAATGAGTCACGAAAAATCTTCGGTTTCGGAGAAATTTCAAATTTAATGTCTATCGACACAAATCACCTTGAGCTGTGTATAAATGGTGTATTCTGGATATGGATGAGTATTTTGTTCTTTGTCTTTGGATCTTACATATTGTATACTGTAATTGGACTCGCAATGCTTTCAGGTAATTATAGTAGTAAAGAAATATATATATATATATATGTATATATATATATATATATATATATTTATATATATATATATATATATATATATATATATATATATATATATATATATACATATATATATATATATATATATATATATATATATATATATATATATATATATATATATATATATATATATATATATATATTGTTATTTTTAGTGTAGATAGAGTTGTATACCAAAATGTAAAATCCAGTATAATGTTAACAGAAAGGATTTAAATAATTATTTGCCGTAATTTAATTTATCTGTACTAGAGCTAGTTCTAGATAAATATATAGCTCTATAGATTTGTGGTGTGTAAAGAAATATTTTTATTATACATTTGTCCTAAAAAACACTTTTTCTGATTATTGTTTAACCTCACAGATTTCTATATTGAAATAAACCGGGAGTGATCTCCCCTAAACTTTCTCGAATATTCTTATACAAAACAACAGGGGATGAGAACTCGGGCTATAGATTTTTAATCTATTTTAAATACTCAAAGTTTTAAATATAGAATAAAATCTCGTAGACGTTATCGGAAATCGCTCAAAAGTTGATACGGATCTATGATTTTGATAAAATACTTATATATGAAATTTCATCATCCTAGCTGTAACGGTACTCAAGTTATCGTGTTTACACACGGACAGACAGACAGACACACAGACACACAGACATACGGACAGAATTGCAAAGCCCAGTTTTTCAGACTGGATTACGCATAAAACCTCTTAATTTTGATAAATCTGGATAATAAGTCCTCTATACTTCGGATGTAATGAAGGACTGAGGTGTAATACGGTGAAAATTGTTAAAATTTCGAGTGAATTTTTGTGCACGATTACAATACTTTCTCTATGCTTCGTATATACGAGAAAGTAAAAATGCTTCAAAATAATTAGGCTAATTGCGTAAACTTATGCACTCAACCATTTTAAAAAGCAGCTCTGTTTTGCTTAAAAAAGAATATAAATTTAAAAAGACCTTTTATTGAACAATGTTACTTCCCCTAAACAAAGCACACACTTCACCATTGATTTAATGCATAGTTCATTTGTATTAGGATTAGGTTTAATTTGTTTGGTGTTAACAATCAATCTCGTTATAACACAAAAAATGAGAACTTACCAAGAAGAGGTGATGAGAGTAAAAGATGTAAGACTAAACACAATGAGTGAAATACTGCAAGGCATTAAGGTAAATATTTTTACGTGTTTATTATTTATTACCTTTAAAATTAGTTAAGAATTCATATATACGAGCTGACCCGCGACGTAGCATACGCCGCTATTTAGTTGTTTTATTTTCTACTTATCAACAATTAATAATTTGTGAATTTCAACAATGTGCCATTGTTAAAACATTTAACAATCACTCCATTTATTACTGTCAGGTCATAAAGTTATATGGCTGGGAACCCATGTTTATCTCTAAAATAATGAACATTAGAGACAAAGAGCTGAAGGTTTTACAGAAACATTCAATGTGTGACTGGATCGACACTTTTGCCTACACAGGAGCAACGTTCTGGGTATTTTATAAAAATAATATAAACGATTTCCATTATAATTCTAGCGAAAGTATATTTTTCAGAAATAGTTTGAATTTAGATAATTAACTAAGTTTCATTTATAGAGTAATTTAGTTAATGAATTAAAATAAATCATATTGAGGGATCCAATTTGATTACATCTTTTTATACAGATTACATTTCTGATGTTGGTGACCTACGTCAGTTGTGATGAGCATCACTTTCTCAGCACAACAACAGCTTTTGTTGCAATAAATTATATAAGTTTGATAAAGAAAGTCATCACAAATTGTCCTCTCCATATGAAATATGCTATCAAAGTATGTACATTTATTATGTATCTTTACGATGTTAAAATAAACCGGGAGTGATCTCCCCTAAACTTTCTCGAATATTCTTAAATAACTCGGAATATAGACATGATTTTTAATTACTTAAACTTTTAAAAATAGAATAGAATCTAGTAGAAAAAAGAATTGCGCACCAAGCGAACGCCACAACAAAATGTGCATAATAGTGCGCAATATTATTAGTACTTTTTTAATTTACATGCGTTTTTTGAGAAATCGAAAAATAGCGTAAATTACTTCTTCCGGAAAACAGAAATTACTCAAAATTTGAAAGAAGGTAGAGAATAAGATCTTTTACTTACATATGAAATTTCATTTATCTATCTGAAATAGTACTCAAGTTATTGGCTTTTGAAAAATTCAAAGTAGAAAAAGTACCACTTCCGGTTTATGGGAAATCGCTCAAAAGTTGATACAGATCTACGGTTTTGATAAAATACTTATATATGAAATTTCATCAACCTAGCTGTAACGGTACTCAAGTAATCGTGTTTACACACAAACGCACACACAGACACACACACACACACACACACAGACATACGGACAAGATTGCAAAATTATGTTTTTCCGTATCAGTGACGTGTAAAACGTCGAGATTTGTAAAAATCTCGATTTTTTTTTCACGATTACAAGACTTTCTCTATACTTCGTATATACGAGAAAGTAAAAAGTATTAGAAAATTTGTTATTTTGGATAGTGAGATGTTGTTGATCATAAAAATCTTTCAGGTTTTGGTGGAATATCTGCTCATTAGGATGGGAAATATTTAATTAAAAACATTATGTTGGATATTGGGTCCAAAAAAATATTCTTGTGTTAGAGAAAACAGCCAAATACCGTTCATGAAGTGGACTATTAATGTTATTGCTACTTGTATTGACGTTTAAGCAAGCCTATTTAAAATTGTAATTGTCAACACTACAATTGCTTTTAATCTGTGTGTCTAGATGGCTGGTTCTATTGTTCGAATTAACAAATTTCTTCAGGCTGAAGATTTTGACTCAACTGAATACAACACTTTAGATGGTAAAAACTCATAAACAGCTTCTAGCGTTGAAATAATATATTTTATCTACTTATTCATTAATTAATGTATTAATTAAACTTAAAAATGTTTTACAGATCTCGCCATAAGGATAAACAATGCTTCATTTTCATGGGAAAAGTCAGGCATTAAGATCCTTAGGAAGTATGCTAATGACTTTGCAATTAGATTTCAAAAATAAATTTACAAATATTTGCATGTGTAAATAGTGTGGCTAACATTTATGTCATTAAAAATATGGAAAAAAATGAACAAATACAGCAACATAATTTTATAAAATACAAGCATGCCCGTCCCCGCGCGTTGCCGCAGGGTTAGAAGAAAGTCCAAGGGTAGCACGGGTCAAATCGTACCATAGGGGGGCGTCGACGGGCGCTAATGATTCAGTAAACGACTGTAATGCCCCATTAAATCCATAGTCTATCGCACTTTTTAAAGGGAACGTAGGTGCCAAAGTGCTCACGGGCGCCAAATTTGGCCCTGCCGGTGCCCGGCGAACGCGCCTGGTTCAATGTAATGAACGACCCAAACGCTCCAACTTACCAACTTATCTATAGTCTATCGCAATGGTTAAAATGAATGTAGGCGTCATAGCGCTAATGGGATAAACCTCCCAAAGAATATTCGCAAAAACTTCCCAAAGTCGATCGGATGAAAGGTGTAGTAATGCATAAAAGACAGACTAACAGACATACACATACACTGCTTTATATATATATATATATATATATATATATATATATATATATATATATATATATATATATATATATATATATATATATATATATATATATATGTATATATATATTGGTAGATACGTTTGTAATAAAAACTACAACTGAATCGAACTGATATTTTGTTCTGTGTAACGTAATTTTTTTTTTTTAATTTTACAATTTCAAGCATCAATTTAAAGATTGAGCCTGGCAAGCTGGTGGCAGTGGTGGGGTCAGTCGGTGCTGGGAAATCATCTCTGCTGCTAGCTCTACTAGGAGAGATGAACAGGACTTCAGGCAGCTCAAATATCAATGTAAGAGATCTTGCCAAAGTGATCCGATTCTAGTAATAATAAAAGTAATACATTATAAATAAATTCAATTCTATTCACTCTTTAAAACAAAATCACTTGCTAAAATACGAATACATTTGTTTAAAAAAAGAAAGTTGGCCTTTATCTTCTTTGGTGAATATTTGTTTCAATTTATTTATTTTTTAGTCCTCTCTAGCATATGTACCACAGCAAGCTTGGATCCAGAATGCAACAGTGAGAGAGAACATTACATTTGGTCGGGAATTTGATCCAACTTTTTACACAACTGTCATTGCTGCCTGTGCTTTGAACCATGACCTGGAGATTTTACCTGCTGGTGACCTGACAGAAATTGGAGAGAAAGTACACACACATCTTTATGATAATTTGAATTATTAATACACACATAATTTTGGCAATACGATTAATGCACACATCTTTAAGAAATTTTGATTAATAAAGAAATCACAAATTACACGTTTTAGTTACATGTTTTAAAAGTGACTTTATTTTGCCATCAATTTCTTTCAAGGGAGTGAACTTGTCAGGTGGACAGAAGCAGAGAATTTCTCTAGCAAGAGCTGTCTATAGCCAGGCTGACATCTACCTGTTTGATGATCCATTGGGTGCAGTGGACAGCCATGTGGGACAACACATCTTCCAAAATGTTATCAGCAACACTGGACTTTTAAACAGGAAGGTTGATCAGTGGTTTATTTTCTGTATTCGAAACTTGTCAAAAAGCATTATTCTATATAAACTAATTTTTAAAATAGCATGCATAGACACAAACATTTAGTTTTCTACCGATCCTTTAGAAAATTTGAGTAGAGTTCATCTGTTTATGCTACTTAGTATAGTCCGCACTATGTCCAGCAAACTAAAGTTTGATATCCATAATTTTCATAGCCCTAGTAAGTTTCAAGAACCTGGGATCAAAACTCTAGAGATCAGAATGGCAGCCATGCACTCTACTATACAACCATGCCATCTCTTCAATGGTCAACAAAACAATGTTTTAAAAGTTCTTTATAAATTGCATTTTAACACAAAAATATCATTTAACTAAAATAAACATTGTTTTAAAATTTCAACAGACTCGTGTCCTAGTCACACATGGAATTCATTTATTGTCAGACGTGGACTTGGTTGTTGTTATGCATGATGGTAAAATTGTAGATTCTGGGGGCCCAGAAATTGTACAATTTGGGAAGAAGTGTTTTAAAAACAAAACACAGTTTAAATATGATGATACCAACATTGAAAATCACCACGATAGGGATAATTTTGGTAATTTTATCATAATAATTAAACATTTACTTTAATTGATATTTAATTTTTATTAAAATAATTTTAGCGTTTTTATGCAATGAAAATGGATTTAATGTTTCAAGTGAATAATATTTGAAAGAAAAGCAAAATTACATGATTTGATATGATTACTTGTTTTTCAACATTTACTTCTGCATTTAAAATATTCTTTATAGGCTAAGTAAGCAAAAGTTGAAGTTGTATATATTAATTCTTCAATTTCCAGTTTAAATTAAAGTGTAACCTTGTACAAAATTTTAAATAGGAAATATGTTTGAAAAAACTACCAGCAAGAAGAAAAGATTGCAAAGCATCATTCAGAAGCAAGTTTAATTTTATTGTTTAATTTTAGATTTGTTATAGCAGTTTTCATTTTTTTAACATCACATTATAACATTTATTAGAATAAATGGTTTATTTTCTTACTTATGGATTGCATCTTTTATGTATTGTAAATTTTATATAGATGAATGTATATTTTTTAAAAATCTACAGTAATTTTAGTGTGACTCTAAAAGAACAAGAAGACGGGTCTATTGACAGGAGCAAACTCACCACGTTGGAAGAAACTCAAATAGGAAAAGTATGGATTTTTGACTTATCACTTTAGGTATCTATAAAACTTTCTTTACTGCTCCACCCTATACAAAAATTCTTCTAATACATTTTTCTTGCCATTCCCAGGTCAAATGGGAAGTTTATTTGGATATCATCAAAGGTTATGGTGTGCCATATGTTTTACTGACAGCTGTTTTTATATGTGGCTTCCATGTTGCCTATAATGCAGCATACATTACTTTGACAATGTGGATAGGGGATAATCATTTATTCAACAATACAGAGTTACCAGATCAAAGCAAGGAAAGAAATGACTTAAATAGACATTATATTTTGTATTATCTAAGTTGGGGCTCTATTCAGTGTAAGTTTGCAATTAAAACTACAGACATAACATGCCAGATTTATTTTTCAGTTTTAGTTTAAAAATGCTTTTAAAGCTATCTGAAACTTTTTAAATATGTTAAATGAGGGAAAAGATTTAGAAACGCTTTAAAGATTTTTACCATTGCTCGTCCAATGATCTAAAATGTTATATGCTCCTTATATTTTTGATAATTTATAAGGCTTTTAAGGCAATCTACTAATTTTTAAATTTCTTAATTAAATGTGAGAAAAGATAAAGAAGTTCTTTAAAAATGTTTTATTAATGCAATATGTTCTCAAGTATAAGATAATTTGATGTTTTATTATTGTCCACAGCTTTATGTGTTTTGATATACTCAGGGCTGTTCCAGTTCCGTCATGTGACCACTTGTCGATGGATACATGCAAAACTTATAAATTCAGTACTAAGAGCACCCATGAGTTTTTTTGACACAACTCCCATGGGGCGAATTTTGAACAGGTTTAGTCAAGATTTAGATGTTCTAGACAGCGCAATATTTATAAATTTGGAAGTATTTATTGAGCACGTGATGTTTGCTTTGGGAATAGTTGGTATTATTAGCTACGTTTTTCCAGGATTCCTTGGTGTATTATTTGTTGCTGTCTTGCTTTTTATTATTGTACAGGTAAATATAAATTAACTTATATATACATATATATATATATATATATATATATATATATATATATATATATATATATATATAATTTTTCCAGTAAAGAGTTTCAATCACTTAATTGTTTTAAAGGCTTAGTCAATCTTCAAGTATTATTATTGGTTTTATATTTTAAGGTTAAAGTAGACCTATCAAATATTTACCAAACATTCTTAGCATTTTTCTAGATTTTTGAGATTTCTAAATTATTATTTTTTTGCCAGCAATATTATATCAGGACTTCATGTCAGCTGAGGCGTATCACATCAAAAAATCGCTCACCTGTATTTGCCCACTTCAGCGAGACACTGTCTGGTCTGACTGTCATCAGAGCACACAGGCAGCAGCTGAGGTTCATACAAGACTCTCACATGAAGGTCGACTTCTTTCAAAGACCTATGATGATCATGTATGCAGCCAACAAGTAAGGGATCCCTGCAAATCTCTTGTTAAAACCTTAAGAAAAATCTATTTGGACAATTTTATACAGTGTATTCAAATATAATTTCTTAGTCATAATAACAGCCTTATAATAGAACAATATAACAAAACATTTCTATTTTCACAGGTGGATGCAAACCCGTTTGGACATTATTACATATATTTTAATTGCTGGTGTTACCCTCTTTACAATATCAAACAGAGGAGAAGTGGCCCCAGGACTGATCAGTTTGTCCATCACTTTTATATTAAGTGTAAGATGAATTTTATTTTTTAAATCAATAGCCCTTATTGTTTTAAATAAAGCTTATATATAGTGTATATTTGAAAATCACATTAAGTTACTAGTCCTTTTTTTTATCTTTTGTGAATGATCATGTGGTTTTATTAATAGATAACAAATAACATAGCATTAATAACAAGAATGTCAAGTAACCTTGAATCAAACATTGTATCTGTGGAAAGAATTCAGGAATATTCACAGATTAAAAATGAGGTAAAATTTAGTTAATTAATTAATATTTACTAGACCCGTCATTCTTGAAAAACCATGTGTTTCGGGGAACATCCATTAATGATGTCACGTTTGTTTGATGTTTGATGATTGTTATCTTTCCCCCTTCCCTTTTCACTGTCACACATCTTCTCAAAAACCCAGACCCCGCATTCAAAAAGACGTCACGCGTTAGACATGTTTTTGTCTTTTAAAAACACCGATTTTGACTGAGCATCGGTCTGACCACACTATCCCTTCATTTGCTGAGGTCACAGAAACAGGTAAACTCTATTTTACCTGCCCAGTGTCCCGTCAAATCTCGTAAGGCAACTTTATCCTTCACATCTGAAGAGATGTTTTCGTTTTTTAAAAACATTGATTTCTTTCTTTAATATTTTCTGAGCTCAAACCTCATTTGAATAATAAATGAATAAATTATTAAAACTAACGTCGAATTAATAATAATAATTTAGAACAAATCGCACGTGTTGTGATTTCCCACTGTGCATTATTTGTTTTAATATAATAAAAAATAAATAAAAATAACATTGCCTTGATGTGTCTCGAACACTTTCGAAAAGGTGCAAATTTAATGGGTTAGAGCCCGTGTAAGAAATTTAAGTTACGCGAATAGGCTTTACTACTTTAAATTAATTTATATCCCAAATTAGCCAATTCCATAGCTGAACAAAGTTTTATATAAAATAATTAAGGTCTTAAATAGTTAAGTATAGAAACTCATTATTGGCCTAGATTCTAGATCTAGATAGAGCTGTATTAGATATAGATCTAGAATCTACGGCTGACATAAGTCTAGTTTTTCCGTAGCTCTAGATAAATTCCTTGTATTTTCGAATCAGATTATCTGTGAGGCTAAAGATCAAAGATTTCTATCAAATATTTAACGACTAAAATAGTTCAATAAAGAAACGCAATTTTATATTATGTTTTTACTTTCTCGTATACAGAGTATAGAGGAAGTATTGTAATCATGCACAAAAATCACATGAAATTGTGAAAGTTTTCATCATTTTACACCTCAATATTTCTTCACATACGGAGTATGGGGGACAAAAATAATAATTGCAGATTTATCATTATGTGGGTGTTCTATGCGTAATCGAGTCGGAAAAACCGGGCTTTGCAATTCTGTCCGTGTGTGTATGTTTATGTATGTATGTATGTGAAACCTGAACTTGAGAACAGGGGCGGAACTAAAGTGCTGCCAGACCCCGCAATGTGGGCGGCGGAGGGGGCATGCCATTTAGGGCCCACTGCCGATCATAATACATTTTTTATAGTTATTTTTTCTAGCATTTTTTACTTGATTGTTGTTTTTTTTAAAAAGATCACTGTAGCTGCGGTTGGCTTATCTTTATTTTATAGACACTATCCCACGCTCTTGTATATTCTTTTTCACTTTGATTTTAAACCACTGTAAAAGCCGAATCCTCTTTTCCATACAATCAAACACACGCTGTCGTAGCAAATTCTTTGAAATTAAAATCAAAGTCCATTGAGCAAAGGGCCGCTAGATATTAAGAAGATTTTTATAGCGTTGGAAAGGGGCCCACAATCCATTGTGATTTTACAATGTAAAATGTAAGTTTTCTTGTATTGGTAGAGCTACTATTCTGTACTATCCTGTATTCTACAATTAATCTTTTTTTTTTGGCGTTCACTTGGTGTGCAATTCCTTTTTTGACTAGATTTTATTCTGTTTTAAAAAGTTTAAGTATTTAAAATGGATTAAAAATCATGTCTATATCCCGAGTTGCCATCCCCCGTAGTGTTATATTAGAATATTCGAGAAAGTTTAGGGGAGATCACTCCAGGTTTATTTAGTGTAATACTGCATAAAAGTTTGGTATTAAAACGTTTTTTACATTATTTTTAACCAAATGTTATCATAAAAAATTCTGGGGGGTTTTTTTTGGACGAAAATAGTAATAAAAATAACCTTTTTGTGTCAGGCTCATTGGACTTTGCCAGATGACAGTAGATTATCAGGTGTGTGGCCACTGAATGGAAATATAGAATTTGTTAATTATAGTGCAAGATACAGAGAAGGATTAGATTTTGTACTTCAAAATATCAATGTTTCGATAAATGCTGGAGAAAAGGTAAAACCTAAAAATATATTAATTGTAATTTTCATAATCTTATCAGACATATCCTTAAATAACGCCACAATTTTGGACAAATTGTTCTTGATTGACTAATGTCTAATTAGATTGAAAATGACGTATTGTTGTATGGTCATTGGAGAAAAAATGTGTATAGAAAGTTTGAATAAAATTGTTGGTTAAAACCTGAGTAGCAAAATATGTCACAAAACTACAAACAAACATATTAAACTAAATAAAAGCTTTATAAAAAGCTTTTTATAAAAAGGCAAAGTGTGTCGTCATATTTTTCTGACCACCACCTCTTCCCCTCGTTATAACTTTCCCCGTTAGGGATGTAACGTCGTCTACGGAAGACCCTCAAATGGTATTCAATTTATAACAATAAAAATTTTGTTCGTAAAGGTTTATTTGCTATTCTCTTGAGAATAAATAAAAATTCAAGCCATTATTGAATATTAGTTAAACTATAAGCTAATAAAGATATTATTACATTAGCTAAATATTATTGTTCAATCTTAGATAGGAATTGTAGGAAGAACAGGGGCAGGTAAATCTTCTATGGTTCTTGCCCTTTTCCGTTTGATTGAAGCAGCAAGTGGATACATTGTATTAGATGGTGTGGACATTTCAAAGATTGGGCTACACACACTTCGACATGCTGTCACCATACTGCCACAGGTAGACATAGATCTTAAAAGTTATTTAAGCTAAAAATATTTAATCCTGACACCACTGTTTAAAAATATTCCATATAGGCCTACTGGTCAATTAGTTAGATATTATCAAGAGGACATTTATTAAAACATGTGTAAAACATTTTTAAATGTTAGCATCACTGGCCTATAATTAAATCGGTTTGGACGTGAATACTTATTTTGTATGACCCAAAATCCTAACCCAGGTTTTAAAGAAATGACGTCTTACTAAACCTGTTTTCAGGATCCAGTACTTTTTGCTGGAAGTTTGCGCATGAACCTTGACCCATCCAATGAAAAATCTGACATAGAACTCTGGGATAGCTTAGAACATGCCAACCTTAAAGACTTTGTTCAACAGTTGCCCAATCAGCTGGAGTATGATGTGGGGGAGGGGGGAGAAAATCTCAGGTTAGTAAAGTCATTTTTTATCAAATATGATTTCACACTTTATTCACATAGAATTGTAGCCTCAGATGAGATTAAAATCACACAATATATTAGTATTTTATCATATTTGAGACTCGTGCATCCTATCGTTGCATCAAAATGGTCCTGGGTAGTCTTCAGGGCTGGATGACCACATCAATTCAAAATAAACATTGACATACACAGCTCACTTCCATTATTTAAATGTTACTATTTACCTACTCAACATAAACAATCTTTAACAACGTGTTTGTGTTTAGTGTGGGACAGAAACAGCTGATCTGCCTAGCCAGAACTCTACTGAGAAAGACAAAAATTTTAGTTTTTGATGAAGCATCAGCTTCAGTGGACATAGAGACAGATGATTTTATTCAGAAAACTATTAGGACTGCTTTCAGGGACTGTACAGTGATCACCATAGCCCACAGAATTCATACAGTCATGGACTATGACAGGTTAGGCTTAGTCCAAAATACTGAATGTATAAAGGGGATGAAATTATGTGTAACGTAAAGCAATATTATCTAAACCCTATGTAGAGAATAAGTATTCTTTTGTACCATTAATCTTGATATTGCGATTCAAAATGTTAAATTTTACCAACAAAATGTTAACATATTTTTTTTGGACATTCACGTAAAGTTTTAGTAGAGTTTACCTTTACAAAATCCTCCCAATTTCGTTTTTTTTATCTTATTGATGTGGTTAACTTATAATATAAAGGTATTGATTACACGTTTTTGCTTACATTTTTAAACTCGTTCATTTGCCTTTACAGAATTATCGTGCTAGAACAAGGTAAAATAATAGAAGTGGATTCTCCAGCTAATTTACTACAGAACAGCTCATCCAAGTTTTATTCTCTGGCTCACAGTTATGACACCGTTTGATTGAATGTTTCATCCACCACTGTTGTGGCAATATTTTATTGAATGAAACCGTACTGTTCTGTTTTAATAATAGTATATCGCGTGTTTCATAAATATATTTTAAAATGTTTATTAAAGTTGAAGTTTATTAATGTTAGTCTGACAGGTGTTCTGATGAACGTATAAGTCGTATTAAAAACTTCTCTTGCAAATAAAGGGAGAGAAAATGTATTTTTAAGTTTTTTTTAATATCCCATTGAAATGTGAACAATTTATTAACATCAGACTACAAGACATGGTTACTGTTCCACTTAACATGTTTATAAAATTAAGAAAATTTTGATGCTTGTGAACATCTCTTAAAGTTAGCGTGGTCAAGTTTTAAGACAAATAGACTACTTGGAAATTTTTATTTTATGTTATTTTCTATTTTAATGCTTACAAATTACGTAATCTACCGTATAAATAAATGTAACGATTTTTCTCCATCCATTCGTTCTTTCATGATCTCGTTTCTTGTCTTCCCATAATAGTCTGAATTTCCATCTTCATTTTTCGCATTTTAATCTACCATAATGATCATGTTATCTTTTCCGTGTGCGGTGAAGAAAAGCCTAAATAGAATTGTAGAACTCTTATTTTTTTTCTCTGTTGAAAAATGGTTGTCTTACGGTCCATTGGTATTAAGTCTTCCAGCTATCAGTTGTGATGAGATAGGTTGTGCCTCAGATAGACCGAGAATCTTGATGTTGTATCTTCTCATTCCATACAGGGTTTGGATTTTTTCAAGTCCTTATTCTGGTTTTTGTTTTGTTCGTCAGAAGATTTGTCAGAGCGATAACTACGTGAAGGCTTTCACTAGCACTCGTTATAATAAGCTTTACTAGAGAGGAATCTTCCTTCACGAGCTCTCGTTGATTTAATGTGTTTCGCTTTCTCTATTGTTTGATGAGGTAGGATTGCTAGTCCTACACCCAACCTTTTTTCTTTTCCTGGGATAGGAATGTACGAGATGGTTGATCTTGATAAGGCTTAATCTGCCCCTGATTAACATGCAATATATTGTACCATCCGATTGTTACTACTCATCATCTCAACAGTCTCGCTCTGCTGTGGCTTCAATGTTTAAATAAATATTTATAGATGTCACGCCATTCAACTAATATAGCGAAAGTGTTGTTCAGTTTGCGACCTTGACATAAACGTGTTCGTAGTTTTAAAATCTTTCAGTACGTTGTGTTTTATAGAATAAGCCAGCTGATGAATCATTAATGTCGCGATAGAATGTTGTGAGTTGTTTTGGTTGTTTGACCTTTCAACTAACTACCGGAATATGAAAATATTCATTCATAAAAGACTTATAAACCTGTCAAATACGTTATAAATTATTCATTTTTGAAACATTCTGAAGGTATTTATTTTCCATTGCTTGTTTACAGAATGCTTATAATTCGCTCAAATGACATTTAACACCGTAGTTATACATTTATGTAGTTGATTTTAAAAATAAGTTTTAAAAGTTTCAAACATGGAAAAACTGAAGTTTTCAACAATGGCGCGTTGATTAGGATAGAACAACATGGCCAGATATAGGCTTTAAGGAGAGGGGGGGGGGGAATACGTACAGACAACACTTATTCTGGAATAATGTTTTCACTGTTCCAAGGGTTGTTTTTGTAATATATTAAAAGGTTATCATTTGTCTATTGGTTATGGCACACCAAAGTTACAGCCCTATTGATTATAGCCCATTAAAGTTATAGACCTATTGTTTTATTGAATAGTATTTTATATCGGTTGTGTATAGAATACGATTAAAGTCATTATTTTTCAGTTCAGTCATATAAAAGGAGTCATCGGGTGACATCATATAAAAGGGTGATACAATTGCTAAATATACAAAAGGAAGATGAATTGTCGTCCAGAATCATTAAAGTTTATTAACTCATAATTAATGTGTTAAATTGTTTTAAGCAAAAAACGCCAAACCGCTATACCGAGGGAGGGGAGGGGGTAATACCATTGCGAAAACTTGCTAACTAGCTAGAAAGTCATGCTATATCAAGCTGTATTAACAACCGACTATAGGTACACATTACTAATGGGTCTGCACAGTTCACATGAGTCGACCACCGGGAGGGGGGGGGGGGAGATCGGCAACACCTACAGACAACTTCCAAACAAAAAATGATTCACAAAATTTAAATAAAACATGTATATTATATATGTATATATATATATATATATATATATATATATATATATATATATATATATATATATATATATATATATATATATATATATATATTAAAGTATAGTTGCTAAACATAATCAAGTACTGGTGTTGTAACTACAACTATCTGTTTTATAAAAAGTATTTACTTAATACTCTAAAATAAGTAAAGTTTTTATTTTATTTTCTAGTATGTATGGAGATACATATTTTAGAAAATATGTATATTTTTTTTTAAATCTGTTTATGAAAGCCTTTTCCACCCAGCTCTGTGGGGCACTCTAATGCATCTAGCTCTGATGAACCTAGAATCTAGATTGTGGGGTTTCTAGTGTCTAGTTGGCTCTGTTGCTGTTGTTAGCTTGTTGTTAGCTGGTTGTTAGCTTGTTGTTTCACTGAAACCCTCCCCCTCATCACACACCGTCACAAAATTACGGACCCCCCTCCCCCCAACGAGTTTGATGTCATTTATGGACGACCCATAAAAGCGACACTAGCATCCCACCTTGCCTACACCAATGGACACAGCCTATCGACTGAGTGATAACATTGGGAGACTGCAGTACAATCTGATGCCGTGATCTATTATGTATTTCATTGTTTTATGACTACTTGATTCTTTATTATTATTTTTACCATAAAATGAACGACACTAACTTGATCGTAATGCTGTGTTAAATATTCATAGTCCACTGTGTTTAACTTTATGACTCAATTTACTTGATTAATATAAGACCACCTATTTGAATTCATGCAAAGGAAAAAACGATGCAAAAATGTTAAAAGTTTGCAGTCAAGATCAACTCTGGGTAAGTGTTTATTTTTTATTTTGGTTTTACAATTTTATATAGACAGGCCTGCAGAACTGCACCAACTTCAAAAACAGTGTTTTGGGTAATTCCACTTACTTGATTAACTGCTTTATTCTAGTTAATTACTATGTAAACACATGTTTGTGAACTGCACAGGCTAATTTTAAACAAGAGGTCCCACACAATTCACTATCGTACATTGTGTAATATTTAAAAAACTTACAATTGCGAAGTAGACTATTTATCGGTTTTTAGTCGTGTAGTTTTTTTTCTCAGTGCGTAGTTAGTATGTGAGTAATTTCTGTTATGGGTGGGTTTTTACATACTTCCACCACAGGGTAACAAGACTAAAGAATGGGCTTTATAGGCCAACCAGCCAGCAAAACGGTGTATACCAACAATGGAATCCCATCAAATATATGCCCAATACAAAAACATCAATTGTGTAACACTAAGTAGCAAATAAATTGTGAATATTGTTCGCCTAAAGATATTGAATTATGTAATTATATACCTTATAAAAAAAGGTGAAATGTAAATTATATTTAATGGTTAAAAAATGTATTATTTTGATTTTCAAAGAAGTGCACAAAAACTTTTTTTTTATTTTGAATTATAAAAATATAAGATGTAAACTATCCTATTCTAATTAGTAAACATGTCTAGCCTAAACTTTACCATTCCTCAAGGACTCTTCGTTAGCCTGGTCAAACAACACATGGCCCGAGCTCTCAGAATGTTTCCAGAACACAGTTCTAGAGCTGGCGCCGGCCTTCTGGTTTTTACTTACGACCCCGTGCTACTGGTATCACTTGCTGACCTCGTCACGTGACAAACATCCGGTCTGTTGGATTTTTATTGCTAAACTCGTAAGTTTTGTTGTTTTTACTTTTTACTTTCTCGTATATACAGAGTATAAAGTACGGCAATCGTGCAAAAAAATCGCGAATTTTGCGAATCTCGACGTTTTACAGCTCCCTGAGTCGGAAAAACATAATTTTGCACTCGTGTTCGTATGTCTGTATGTGTATGTGTGTATGTGTTTGTGTATGTGTGTCTGTAAACACGATAACTTGAGTACCTTTACAGCTAGGTTGATGAAATTTCATGTATAAGGTATTATATCAAATGTGTAGATCCGTATAAACTTTTCAGCCATTTCGAATAACCAGAAGTGGAACTTTTTCTACTTTGAATTTTTTTCCAAAGCCTGTAACTTGAGTACTTGAGTACTATTTCAGATAGATAAATGAAATTGCACATATAAGTAAAAGATATAATTCTCTGCCTTCTATCAAGGTTTGGGTAATTTCCGTTGACCGAAAGTTGTAATTTACATTATTTCCGATATATCCCGCACTATTATTCTTTTTTTCAACGAGATTCTATTCTATTATTATAAAAAGTTTAAGTAGTTAAAACTGGATTAAAAATATTGTCTGCATCCCGAGTTGCCATCCCCCGTAGTGTTATATAAGAATATTCGAGAAAGTTTAGGGGACATCCCTCCAGGTTTATTTGAAATAATGCATGGGATCGCACATTGTTATGCTTGTTAGATATATCATTGCGGGGTTAAAATCAACAAAAAGATTGCGGCATAAAATAGCCTCAAAATTTGTATGAAAATTAATTTTTATTGTATTTAATAAGAAATGCGTGGGTCGCTTATTGAATTCTAGTAAATGTATTCAATACATGGTATAGCGACCCGCGTTTTTTTTTAAATTCTTTAAACAGTAGTTCTTTATTATATATTTTAAGAAAATCGTTTATTTTCTCCTTTTTATTGCATTATTACATGAACGCTTTTAATTAAAACGTTTTTTATTAATTTTTATATCAGAGTAATTGAATATTCATTTAGATTTTATCTTCGTGTCTTGGGGCAGCTGATATCACGTGGGCTGTTGCTATAGTGACGGAGGAAACAATGTTTGAACAACTCCTTGTAATACTGGTTCGAATGTTCA